TCGGAAAAGCGCGTCTAGATTGGCAGGATGCTTTTCCAGAAAAGCACTTTTTCCAGAAAAGCGTCTGTGGCCAATCTAGACGTACTTTTCCACAAAAAAGCCCCGATCGTCATTTTCACGATCGGGGCTTTTTTGCGGAAAACACTACTGTGCTGTCTACACTGGCCCTTTTCCAGGACAGTTTTCCGGAAAAAGACTTTTGCCCGAACGGAAGCAACATAGTTTTTCCGGAAAAGCACTGATGATTTTACATTAGATCGTCAGTGCTTTTCCGGAAATTCAAGCGGTCAGTGTAGACAGCTGGCAAGTTTTTCTGGAAATGCGGCTGATTTTTCCGGAAAAGCGGCAAGTTTTTGTGGCAGAGAGTATGAGTCACGGCATATTTTCTGCCGATTCTTTTTGTGTAAAAACCCCTTGTGAAAAAGCATCAGCAGAAAATATGCTAATGACACTGCGACTCATGCTAATGAGCAGGGCTCGACAAATAATGCAATCTACTCACAAGTAGATTGTATCCCAGAAGAGCCAGGTTTGGGTGATCTGCACATGCACAGAACGGTCTGCGCATGCGCAGATCGCCGGACAGCACGGCTGGCGAGCAGGACTCGCCGTGGTTCGGCGAGCCGTGCTAATGAGTCCATCATTAGCATACTTGTAGTGTAGACAAAGCCTTATAGACTAACAAAACATGTAGATAGTATCATGAGCTTTCGTGGGCACAGCTGGTCATCTGAAGAAGTAGGCTGTGTCCACAAAAGCTCGTGATACCATCTACATGTTTTGTAAGTCTATAAAGTGCTACCAGACCATTTGTTGTGTTTTAAATTAAATTTATCCTGTACAGACTAACTCGGCTACCCCCTGAAGCTGCTTAGTCTGGGTTATCCCTCTAGGACACACAGAGCTGGCATACTGCAGCAGCTTTTGTCAGTCTTTAAAACCAAACCTATAATTCATTTGTATGTGTATATTTACCTGCTTTAACCTTGTAAATGCAGTACAACCCCATTTATCCAACCTTCTCTTATCTGGCTGGCTGTGTTAACCAGACCATCACGTGCACAGAGGCCTCGGGGGGAGCATTCCCTCCTGTGACCTCCAGATGGAGTTGCAGCATTGCACATTCCCATTCATTCATTTATCTGGATTTTTAATAATCCAAGCTGGCAAGAGTCCCAGTTAGATTGGATAAATGGGGTTTGGCTGTAACTTTTATTTCTTTTTCTTAGTTAACTAATCTCAATTTATCATAGGATTGGCTACAAGAGTTGTGTTTATTGTAGGATTTAGGGTGCAACTGGGGTAAGGCATTGTTCCTTAGATTAACTTCAATTTTTAAAAAAAAATCATAAAAATATTTAAGGGACTATCTATCCCAAAAGCAAACTTAACTGGATGACAAGATAAGCTGGAGTACACAAGTAGACTGTCTGCGATCCCATCTTAAGGTTGTTATAATTCTTGAGAAGTTCACATTTAACTGGTGAAATCTAAGTATAGAACTCACAACCAGTCTGGGGTTTGTACCTTGCTTCTTAAGTCTTCTCTGAGATGAGCTATTCCAGACAGTTTGACAAAGTCCAATGGATGGAACTAGAACTCCGTGATATACACATTGGATTGGAAGGCAGAGCATCATTAAGAGACCTGGAAGGGTTTTTGTACTTGTTATACGAGCTTCTTCCTTCCTTCTTGCTAACATGATAGTATTCATGTATGTGGCAGTGATATTTTAGATGAGTTGGGTACAGGCTTTTTGATTAAGTCAAAGGAGGACTAGAGTGACCTCAAATTTTATTTCCCCTTGTACTGGACTGACATGGGTAGAGATATTGCTAAGTGGCTCTGTAGGAAAGCTGGCATTGTTGCCTCTATTGGCAATCCCAGAAGGAATGTCACCCATAAGATTTAGATGTTAACTTGAAAAAGCTTCAGTGAAATCTTTAAGCATGGCATTATTTTTCTAACTACTTATCCATCTAGATAGGGTGCAGCTTTCAGACACTGGGTATGGTATTCAGTCTTGAAATCCAGTCCCACTAGTGAAATACCAGGCAAGCAACCAATATCTAGTGATGGAGAGAGTTCTATTCAACAATTGCCTGGAGGGTGTGTCTTCTGATTTCATGGCAGCTAAAATGACTATGTGACTACCCAGGTGCTTGCTAGCTCAGGTCATAGCTGGAGGACTCTTGATCTAGTTAAAAAACACCAATAGTTTGGTAGCACTTTAAAGACTAACAAAATATGTAGATAGTATCATGAGCTTTGGTGGGCACAGCCCACTTCTTCAGATGACTGGAGTATTGGATGTTCAGGACATGTGAAGAAAGCTCATGCGCTGTACCCATGAAAGCTCATGATACCATCTACATATTTTGTTGGTGGTTTTTAAAGCTTTTTCTGTTACAGACTAACTCGACTACCCCCTGAGGCTCTTGATCTAGTGTTTGGTTTAGGATTAGAGATTGAGAAATGACATCCATGTCCTGCCCCACCATTGACTCTTCACTTGTCTATTGGAGTGCCTTTTCTTGTTGGGGTAATGGATCTGTTTGGGTATCCATTCTTGGAAGTGAATGGATCCCAAATGTTTCTAGGAGCTTCTGACAAAGACATTAGTTCTCCTGACTGATCATTGTATTAGTGGTTTGATGGAATTTTATAATGTGTTTAATTGTCCTTCCCCATTGATATGGTGACTTTCTCTTACTTTTGCCTCACAGGTCACCTTCATTTATAGATGGCCAGTAGGGTTGAATCTGAGAATATGTTAATAGAGTTGAAAATTATGCTAATATTTCACCATATTGCTAAGGTGCCTCCGAGCTTTGGATAGCTCCTCTAAAACATTTTGTAAAAATAAAACGAACAAAACTGCTTAGCCCATCCCTGTGAATTGCTTTCTCTCTGATATGATCAGTGTACTGCCTATAGTTACAGGTTACTACATAGTTTTTTCTAAGCAAGTACATTTATTCTAAAGGTAAAAGCATTATGCAGAAAACATATATGCTAAAATTGTTTCTGTATGCATGTTAGAAACTTCCTCAAAGTTAATCAACAATCTCAAGGTAAAATAATAGGTCAAGTCTTGGACAGAAGGTCCTGTCCATTTGTTAGATGAGAAAGATGGCCCTCAGTCAGTTTAAACCCAGCCTTTATAGCCATTTCTCTGGAAAACCCTGCTTGCATTGTTTTAGCCAGATTTAGGTTGAAATTGGAGAGAGACTGTCTGTTTCCCATCTTGGTCAGCTATAAAACAAGGGGCTATTTTAACTCTCAGGATGTCAGCAGGGCCACTGAGGGAGAGAGGGGTGCAAAGGAGCAGCTGCTCCAGGGCCTGTAGATTTAAAAGGGCCGGGGGCTCCAGGCCATCAGAGCCCTAGGCCCTCTAAATAGCCACACAGCACAGTCTGGGCAGCACTGAGAACTGGGTGGGGGAGGTTAGCCCCAGCCTGCTCCTTTCACTGGAGGCCCCAGAGCTGAGGCCCCTCCACTTTGCCCGGGGCCAGGCAAAGTTCGTCACTAACCCTGGATGTTAGTGAAACCCAGCAGTAGAGGTTTCTGGGGTTTGGCTTGCAGATAACTCTAATTAGTTCTAAGATACTGTGTATTATTTGGCTCCTGCTTTGGATGATCAGATTTAAGAAGCCAATAACCAAACTGTTTTGGGAATATGTAGGGGCTCCAATAGTTACCTGGCTTATGTTTAATTTGACTTACTGCTTCCTCTGGGCAAGGGAGTGACTGTGGCTTCCCCATGCTGAAAAGATTTTTTCACATCCATTTGCTGCATAGTGTCATCTGGTCAATAAAATAGTTGCCTTTCTGCCATCATTTCTTAGAGCCTTGTCCTCCTTTCATGTCATAGTAAACCCATTATTTTTATCCCCCAAATTTTAAAATGAGACTCCAGTAAAATGAAGTATTAAGTCTGCCTGGACATGCTATCTGCACCTCAAAACTCTGTGCTGTAAAACATGAATCTGCTTGGGCAAAATAATGGAATTCAGACAATAAATGGAATTCAAACAATAAATGCAATGACTAGCTCATATCTTGAGAAAACATTTAAAATGGGTGTCTTGTTTCTATGAATACATTTGGGATTTGATTTAATAGTCCTTGCAAAGGTTGATACAGGGGAAGTTGCTGCTTTCCAATACAATCCTCCATTTTTATTGGCTCTTATACAGAGAAAGGCAGCCAGCTGATAACATATTCAGTGGAATTTTCCATCCATCCACAAAATATGCATCAAGCAAATGCATAAAGCTTTTTTAACAGGAAAAATCATTGTTTTTAAAACATTTTATGTTTTTATCCTACTGTTAGTTGTGAACAGATGTGGAATGCAATGCATAAATTTATACATTCATCTATACTATGTACAATAGTAAAGTAACCAGTATTTCATTCAGTTTACAACTTTCTTTCTCTTGCCCAGTTTCTTCAAAGGCTTGTTTTAACTTTATATACTTCAATGGGACTGCTCACAGATTGTATAGTTAAGCATGCACATAAGTCTTTGTAGAATCAAGAATGCAACATTTGCAGAATTCAGATTTGAGGTCACTGAGGTACATCAGTCTTATTAGCGGCACTAAAGTAAGCACAGTGATCCTTAGCAATCTAACATCATCATATTACTTACTTAATTCAATAATTGCCATTCTATTTTAATCATAATTATGCCCATAATTAAAGCATGCAAAAGAATAGTATATTTCTATAGTGAAAAAGTGTGTATAAATATACACACAAATCCTCTTTGTATGGAAAAGGTAGTATTGTATTAAATTTGATATTCTTCATTTTGCCATATTAAATGTATACATTTCAAAGAAAAATATTTACATATAGAATACTTGGAACTTCCACATGTGCCAGACTAACAGCCAAGACCGCCATGCTCTATAACTCTTGGGAGTGAAGGTAAAGTGCATGCCTGTTTCATTAAATACAGAAGTATCTTGAGGACAATAATCACTTCTTACCTTTAGAGGAACACTTGCCTGACAGTGTCACTTTCTGGCTTCTAAACTCACTTTGTGGGTAGCAGTGAAAGAGTCTGAAATTTACAGAATGTCAGACATTAAATGTTATGCCAACACAAATAAGGATTAATGTAAAAAAATAAGAGATTAATGGACCATTTTAATGAAGCTCTGACACTGAAGTGCTAAATGTCACAATTCATGGGTAACGGCACCTATATCTCCTCCAGACCACTCTAGGAGTATCCAGTTAGTTTTCTAGCTATCACCTAATGTGTGCAGGAATCCTTGTCCCACACCCTTCAGACTGGGGTGTTTTAAGACTGCACAGCCCCCTGTAATTAGACAGAAAGCAGCATATTGCCCACAGTTACAATGGGTAAGCACATTTATTCTTAAGGTGAAAGCTTTACAGAGAAAATATATATTATAATTGTTTCTGTATGCATGCCTAGAAACTTCTCCAAAGTTACTGATCAGTCTCAAGGGAACATAATAGGTCAAAGTATAGCCAACCCTCCTGCAAGGGGCAGGAGCCCCCCGGACAGAAGCTCCTGTCTATTTTCTAGGTCAGAAAGAAGGCCATCACTCAGTTTAAACCTAGACTCTCAAGCCATTTTTTTGACTATTTGCTCTGGAAAACCCTCTCTGAATTCTACATGCAATCCTCCATTAGTTGGTACCTCTCTGTAGGTGATTAACATATAACTGATTCACATAATTGGTGTAATTTAACATATAATGGATACATTTAATCTCCCCCACTGTTTTTGGTTCCTGGAGGAGCTGTAGTAACCTTCCCCCTGGAGTTGCATTCAGTTCCTAGCCCAAGTGATTTATAAATCACGAATAACATTAATACAATATAGTTCGCAAAGATATTGCATCTGGTTTAGTTGCAATATGTCACATCAAGCACTTTTCAACTTCCACTACTGTTGAAGTTGAGGCTGCTTAGCACCTAGCAGAAGATATTCACCTCACAGAACTGTGTCTTACAAATAAAATTCAGTTAGGACAATTGCAAGAGCCTCTGTATCTTGCCAACCCTGTGTTGGGGCTGTGTGGGAGTTACAAATAGAGTTGTGTCTCAGGAGGCTTCCATGTTCTCTGGAATGGGTCTCCAAGCCAGTTTTCCATATTAAAAGGCCAGAGTGGACCTGTAGGATAATGTCGGCTGAGCTCATGCATAACACAAGTATTACAGATCCTCTGGGGCTGCTAGGCCTTCAGCCTTTGTGCAGTCTTTCTGAGAATATACCACTCTAGCTCTAGGCCTTATGCCATGGGGTCAAGCTCCCAGCTTGTGGGCCAGTCCTGGCCACATTGATTGCACAATCTGACCTGGGATTCCAGCCCAAAGCCCCACTCCTTCCTGCCATTGCCCCATCCTCTCCGCCAGGGCACTCTGTCTCCCGAGCATGTGCCTTTTGGGATCACTGTGGAGGGGTGGGTAGCAGGAGCCACGGAGGAAGCAGAGAGCACTTGGTAGGCACACTTGCTCCAACACGCTCTGGTTCCTCTGCTGCCATGGGGAATGCAGGGGAGTTGCAACTGCTGCCTCCATATGGCACCAGGCTCCCCCAGTGATTCCCCAAAGCTGCATGCTTGAAGGATTGAGTGTTATGGGGGAGGGAAAGGGTAGGGCTTGGGATCCAGTAACAGATAGGCACCCGCCAGGAGTCCTAGTCTGGATTGTGCAATTGCTCCAATTGGGACTGGCCCACGAGACAGGAGTTTGAGACCCCTGCCTTATGCACTTCCACTTTCTAGAAGTGGGAGCTCCATGACTCCACTATTCTGACTTTGGGTCTCAGGCTTAATCACCCCTGTAGTTTTTTCAGCTGATCCCCTGCAGAAGACCCAACCTCTTGGGAGCCACACAACAGCAGATGTATTGCAGTGGCATGGCCAGGCTTTTCAAAACAAACCAGCATTTAATTAGTCAGTTGGAATATAGTGTTTTAGAATCTTTAAAGTTAGAATGTGAAAGCAAAAGTTCGTTCTTTGTTTCAGTAAGACGGCTCCTCTTTGCCCTAGCCTGGGAGGTAGATTTTGTTGTAGCCAAACCTCCCTTCTTTGCCTTGCAGACCTTGATCCAATCTCTCTCCCACTGCATTGGTCAACTGAGTTCTTATTGACCCATCTGACACCTCTGTTCTCTCCTTCCCTTGGCTGCCAGGTGGTAAAAAGTTAACATCCAGCTATTGTTCTTCCTTTGCATTTCCACAGCAATTTCATTCATATGCTGACATTCATAGTAACCCAGTGTGACCAATACCCATCTCCTACTGCACTGTTCCCTCCCCCCCCCCCCCCCACCGATCCTACAGGTGAAATTAACTATTTCACACTCAGTGGATAACAAAGTGAGTGGGGAAAATGAGTCACACACCAGTTTTTCCATAAAAATAATACAGACATTTCTCACCTTCTCTATGATAAGCTATAGAATGGGGGGGGGGGGGAATAATAGAATAATAGCGCTGGAAAAGGCCTCAGGAGGTCATCAAGTCCAGCCCCCTGCCCAAGGCAGGATCAATCCCAACTAGGCAAGACCAATCCCAACTAAATCCATGGGTCAGGGACCAATGACCCACAAAAAATCAGTCAGGGGCCACACACAAGTGAGGAGAAAAAAAAACTTCATTGACATGGTCTCTGTCTGAGAAGGAGAAAGATACGCCCCACATTCCCTTCACACATCAGAGTCTAGGTGGGCCCAGACTAGTAGATTTTGGGTGCTTCTGACACACAGTGAGGCAGCAGAGGGGCTTGAGCACCAGTGGGCTCACCAGTGCTGGGGGAGAGGGTCCCCTGAGACTTGGGGGCTGGATCCAGGCAAGCAGGGGAGGCCTGAGGTTCCCCACTCCTGGCATAGAATGTCATCCAGTAATGACAACATCAAGCCCATAGTAACAGCATCTTTAAATTAAGATCAGGTGCCTTTAAAAAAGATTTCAAGTGATGGGTAGTACAACATATCCTTTGGTGGCTGTTTTAATAGTTAATTACCCTCATGGATATGTCTTATTACTAGTCTGAATGGCCTTCTCGCCAAGGAAAAAACAGATGTGTTCTTAACTAATATTAACTCACTCAGAGTATAATCCTATGGAAGACATGGCCGCTTGTGGTTTTCACATGAATTATCTAATTCAGTTAAAGATTAGGCATTCCATAAAGTCAAGTGAAGACAAGCCCTTTGTAAATTATATTAAAGTGGTGAGGGAAAGGTCATGGGATTTATATTTATATTAATTGAGTAGCCCTAGTGCATAGCACAAGGGGCACAGAGAAGCTGCAAGTATTATTTCAGCCCATAATTGTCCTGCACTAATGATGTGCTTTTTTTTTTAACCTTCCCAGCTCCCTGTATAAAGTGTGTTCACATAAAGCCTGATTACTGGCACTTTACATAAGTATAGTGAATCTCACCCTACCAGAGCAGGAAGTAAATAAGTAAGTATTTAATGTGAAGTAGCAGAAGGAACCCTTTAAAATGCAACCAAGCATTATCCACTCTGATTTTTAAAGAAATGCTGTGCTATAAAGTAGAAAGATTTTTCTAGCTAAGTTTCTTGAATTATTAGCTGAAACAAAATGCAGGACAATGTAGCACTTTAAAGTGTAACAAGATGTTTTATTAGATGATGAGCTTTCGTGGGCCAGACCCACTTCCTCAGATCAAATAGTGGAAGAAAATAGGCATGACCATATATACCAAAGGATACAATTAAAAAAAATGAACACATATGAAAAGGACAAATCACATTTCAGAACAGAAGGGGGATGCGGGGGAGACCTTTTACATCTGCACTTGAAAGGGAATCCTCTGAACTGGCATTCATGCTAAAATTCGACACTCTCCGCAGGGGGCTGCGGAGAGTGTCGAACTACCTTACCCATTACAAAGATAGCTTCCCCAATTATCACCTCTAATACCATTAACTCACAGACATCTCCCCTTCCCCACCTCTAATATCATTAACTCACAGGCATTTACCTTCCTTCCCCTCCCCCCCGCATCCCCCTTCTGTTCTGAAATGTGATTTGTCCTTTTCATATGTGTTCATTTTTTTTAATTGTATCCTTTGGTATATATGGTTGTGACTATTTTCTTCCACTATTTGATCTGAGGAAGTGGGTCTGGCCCACGAAAGCTCATCATCTAATAAACCATCTTGTTAGTCTTTAAAGTGCTACATAGTCCTGTATTTTGTTTCAGATACACCAGATTAACACGGCTACATTTCTATCACTATTCTTGAATTATTAGGACACAACTCAATTTTTTCTGAATTGTCAGACAGTTGTCACCAGGAATGAAGGATACAAATATTGGGATAGAGAAAAAATGCAAAGAAGCAGCCAGCAATTTGGCATTTTTAAAAGAATATGTTGAAATTCTGCATTATAATCAACCTTTTGCTATTTCTAATTACATTAATATTATACCGGGCTGCAACTTTTATACACTAATGAAAAGTTACAGCTGCACAGTGTTTTTAACTCATGTCAAGATATTGCAACATTCTTATATTTTTCTCATAGTTATCCCACATTTTTATCCAACCCACATTTGTTCTTATGAAACAACTGGAAATCTTTAGTGGACATTGACAATTCTCTATAGCAGTGGCCTGTTGTAAGCTAAAAGAAGGACACTTGTAAGGATTGGGGCTGTGATTCTAATATGGTGTTTTGACAAGTTAATAAGAAATAAACAGACTCTCCCACAATATAGGCATGTTAGCAGTATACTCCAATGTGTCCTGAGGGTATTCTTTTAAAATACAATCAAAAAGGAGGGAGAAATTCTTCTTCTAGATCTGATGAAGACCATTTTAGGATTCATTCAGTTCATGTGCAAAACAAAGCACAAAAGAATAAAAATCAACAACTACTGTACAAATGAATGCAATAACTAAATCAATCTCCTTATCTCTTACATCCTGGCCCTAATAGGATATACATGGATCCTCAATACAGGATTGACCCTTACAACACAGTTATTGGTGTTCCCAGTGAATAGTTATGGTTCACAGTCATACTGGAAGGGCATAACAAGTGG